TAATAGAAATAAGGTTCATGAGGACAGGGACTTTATTCAGTTAACCAGGGTATCTCTGACATCAGACCCTACACCTCCCATAGTAGATGCTTTCTAAGTATGTTCTGAGCGTTATAAAAAGCTAGTCCCCAAACACACTGCCTTGAAAATGTTTGAAAATTGGAAATTGTCAAGTGATGGAGCAATGAGATTGAAATTCATTATTTCTCTTTGATTCTCTTTCTGAGGGCATGTACAGATACACACACACACACACACACACACACACACACACACACAAATTGATTTCAGTCAGCCGGTATTTATTGAGTGCCTGCTGTTTGTGGCTTAACATGAAAATTTGGGAAAACAATCATTCTTGTTAGGGACTAGTTTCTCGGAGTCTACTAAACCATCAGTTTAAGCATCAGCTCTCTAACTGTAGTATGATTTAGCATTTCCGTTTTTACTCTAAAAACATGAAGCTACTTTTAATTTCGTTGTTAAATTTGTTTTACATTGGAAAAAATGTAAATTGAATTTTGAAATGAGGTCTTTCCCAGTCTCACTTTCGTGGTTTCAAGTTATCAAAGATTTTTTCTTTGTATGGCAAATAATTATAGTGTTCATTTAGAAGTAGCCCCTGAGTAAAGCCATGAATCCCAAATTTTACTTTATTTTACTTTTTTATTATAATTGACAATTTATAATTGTATACCTTTATGTACTATGAAGTGATGTTATAATTTATGAATACAATGTGGAAAAATTAAATCAAGCTAGTTAACATAGCCATCACCTCAAATACTTAACATTTTTTGTGGTGAGAACATTTGAAATTTACTGTCTTAGCAATTTGAAATGCACAATACTCTGTTATTAACTAACCACACTGTGCATTAGGACTCAAAAAAAAGAAAAAAACATATTCCTCCAGCCTAACTGAGGCTTTGTACCGTTTGGCCATCATCTTCCCATTCCTACACCCCTGCCTCTGTAACCACCATTCTGCTCTCCGCTTCTGAGTTTGATTGTTTTAGATTCCACATATAAGTGAGAACATGTGATATTGCCTTTTGTGCCTGGCTTAATTCATTTATTATAATGTTTTCCAATTCTATCCATATTGTTGCAAATGATAGAATTTCCTTCTTTTTAAAAGCTGAATAGTATTCCATTGTGTATATATACCACTTTTTCTTTATCCATTCATCTGTTGATGGACACTTAGGTTGATTCCATTGTGAACAGTGCTGCAATGAACATGGAGTGCAGACATCTTTTCAACAAACTTGATTTTAACCCAGAAATGGGCTTGCTGGATCATATGGTAACTCTATTTTTAGTTTTTTGAGGAACTTCTATATTGTTTTCCATAATGGTTATGCTAATTTCCATTCCCACCATCAGAGTATAAGGGTTCCCTTTTTTCCACATCCTGTTTATTCAAGGCAATATATTATCATCTAGATCTGCAGTCCCCAACCCCTGGGCCATGGGCTGGCACTGGTCCATGGCCTGTTAGGTACCAGCCTATAGAGCTCCACTGCCGCACCCCTGCCCCCATCCATGGAAAAATTATCTTCCAAGAAATTTAGGAAGCAGAGTGGGGGGGCACACAGCAGTAGGTGAGTGGTGGGCTTCATCTATGTTTATAGCCACTCCCCATTGCTTGAATCACCCCCCCGGACCTTCCCCCGCACCATTCATGGAAAAATTGCCTTCCATGAAACCCGTCCCTGATGCCAAAACATTTGGGGACCGCTAATCTAGATCATCCAAGACCTCTAGTAGATTATTTAGTTTTAGGGGATTTTAAAGTGGACACTCATGCCTTGGTACAGTGGTTCTCAAAGTGTGGTTCCTCAGACCTGTAGCATCAGCACTACCTGGGAACTTGTTAAGAATGCAGATTCTCAGGTTCCCCCTCTGGACCTACTCAATCAGAAACTGCAGGAGTCAAATCCAACACTGCATTTTAACAGGCCCTCTAGGTGATTCTGATACTTACTAAAGTTTGAGAATCATGGCTTAGTAAATGTTAAAGGTTCAAGGTAGCCTGATCCCACAAATCAGCCAAATGGTATTAATTATTAGCCTGGTAAGCCCACCTCCTTTTCAGTCACTGAGTTTGATTGGTTCACTAAGGCTAGGCTATAAAGTTATTTGCTACATTGATTGCCACATATTGACTTTGGGTTGTTTATATTTCTCTGAACCTGTCACTGTAATGATTTGCCAGGACACTTAATAGGAACAGGCCATGGTTTTTTTTGCATCCACAGCTTTCTGAGTCATTACGCCCTCCTGGATAGAATTCTCTAGGTACTGGGCATGCCACTCATGTACTTTTAATGAGAGAGCTGTCACTGTTGGATCACAGGGAACCTTCAGGGGCATTTAGTCCATTCCAGCTTGATTTACACGTAGGGAAATTGAGCCCCCATGAGGTTGTGCTTTGCTTGATGTTGCACAGCTAGTTAGGGGTAGAGGCAGGATTTCAGGTCTCCTGACTCCTTCCACTGTACCAGGATTCCTTTCCTGCAGGGGGACAGAGCTGCAGCTTGTTCTGTGACTATAGGACATTCCTTTCCTACTCAGAGTTGGTTTTTTTTTTTTTTTTAAAGAAAAAAAGCAAATAGAGAAAAGCCAGGAAGTTCTCATTGAAACTAATAAAAGTGTCTAAAGAGAATGAAAAAATCAGCTTGAGAACTTTGGTATGGAGGAAATAACCTGACATTAACTGTTTTAATTATAGTTGTTGCATTGAGCTTATCAGTGTGGGAAGAGGGAGCATTTGAGTCTTACAGGGAAGTGGAATATGGACAAGATGACCCTCTTCCTGAATCTGCCTGTTCGGGCTGGCATCCTAGTGACTGCTTGTGTGATCCCAACAGCTGTCATGGAGATGAGTTGGACTTAGAAAGAGACCTGGGTCCTAGGCCCAGCAATGCCACCAGCTCATAATGTGATGCCCCCTGAAGAAGCCATGTAACCTTCCTGACCATCACTTTCTGGTAAATGGGTATAATACCTACCTTGCCCATCCTAAGAATTGCCAGGTAGTGGGAGCAGTGTATCTCAGAGGTTAAGAGCACAGTCTCTGGATTCAGACTCCCTAGGTTCAAATTCTGGCTAACTCATTGGTATGACAATAGGCGGGTCACTTACCGTCTCTGTTCTCTCACCCATGGAGTGGGTATAATGAAATTAACTGCTTTATAGGATTATTGTGAAAATTGAATTAATTCATCTACATAAAGTGCTTAGGACAGTACCTGGTATTTAGTAAGTGCATTGTGTTAGCTGCTATTGTTACTACTATTAGTATTTAAAAATTATTATTTTGAGGATGAGATGAGATTTCTGTAAACATATCCTCAAGTGATTCCACCACTTGATACAGTACTGGGCCAACAAAGGGCTCTTATGCAGTAATTGTTAATGGAGGAGTTGTTCTGACATCCAGCTTGTGCCTGGGCTGCTGGTCTTGATGCCCAGGATGGGCAGCCTTGGAGCCTCTGATATACACAGTTCATGCATAGAGTGGTGTGGCTAGAGGAAACTCAGAGGTGGGAACTTTTCAGTTTTGCTTTCAGATATTTATACATGAACCATCCTAGGAGATGGACATCTTAATAAACTCTAAGAAAGAGCTCATGAACTTCAATTTTGGTTTTTAATTGTTTGACTAGGTTTCTTTCTGTCTTGCTTTTCCAGTTGTTAGGACTCTTGATACACATTTTGCTAATGAAAATTCCAACTCTAAAAGCTAAACAGTCAGTCAAGATATTGTAATTATCCAGCAAGTGAGTGGCAGACTTCTTCCTCTCCTGGCTGAGATCAGTGAATGTTTCTACTAGTGCTGGTTTTTTGTTTTTTTTTTTTTTGAGATAGTCTCACTCTCTTGCCTGGGGCGAGTGCTGTGGTGTCAGCCTAGCTCACAGCAACCTCAAACTCCTGGGCTCAAGCAATCCTACTGCCTCAGCCTCCTGAGTAGCTGGGACTACAAGCATGCGCCACCATGCCCGGCTAATTTTTTCTACATATATTTTTAGCTGTCCGATCAATTTCTTTCTATTTTGGGTAGAGACGGGGGTCTCACTCTTGCTCAGGTTGGTCTCGAACTCCTGAGCTCAGAACAATCCGCCCACCTCGGCCTTCCAGAGTGCTAGGATTACAGGCGTGAGCCACTGCTCCTGGCCAAGTGCTGGTTTTTTTTGAATAGTCTGTTTTTGGGAGAGACTCAGGTGGTAAAGTGGTAAAGACACTTTTTCATTGTCTCTCAGTGGGACTGGGGGAATCAAGAGTTTGGGGATGTTTGGTTTTTCTGTATGTATAAAATTCTCATTTTATTTATTTTGATCCTCCCTCCTCTGCAATCCCTATTCATGATCTACTCTTCATTTTTATGTAAGCTTCTAAAAGTTAGAGATTATGTTTATCTGTGTATTTCATTTATCTGTGTATTTCATTTATCCTTTTTTCCTAGATCCTATTGTGGTGCTTGGTTCTTAACTTTAGTTTGTTGAATGAGTATTGCCGATGTTTCTGATCACTTCTTGAAGTGGCCTGTTTTAAAACTTCACCTGAAGGCTAAGTAATTCATTAATATGGTGACTTAGTATTTACCTTGTGTCTTTTTAAATATCCATTGATGAATCCTTACATTGCTCATTTGAAGTATCCAAATCCCAAGATGATCTGGCATGTCATAGACATTATAGCTTTATTTTCTGACCGTCATTGGGAGATACAGAGGTAACAGCTGGGGATATTGAAGCACAGAGAAATAAGAGCATCTTTCAAGACCACTAAAGCAGTTACTGTGGGAAGATACTTTAAGGATGAGCTTCTGTGCTAGAAGCCAAAAGATGAAAAACTGATTAAAACTCTAAAGGGAAACCCAGATCAGGTTGGATGTGGGAATGAATGGTGATCTGGATTGTATCACACTTCTTTGGTGCCTGAGGGTTATGATTAGTGACTTATTTCTAATGTGCATTTGTTTTTATTTTTAGCATTGCAATGTCGGGATGGCTATGAACCCTGTGTAAATGAAGGAATGTGTGTTACCTACCACAATGGCACAGGATACTGCAAGTAAGTTTTTGTCTTCATATATTTTCTTTTTACAATAGGGCACTGAACAAGATTTGGTTCTACTCCTCTATGTTTAATACTTCTGTGAAATGCTACTGGTTCTTAAACTTCCTTTCTTTCTTTATTTTATTAAAGAGACAGAGTCTTACTCTGTTGGCTAGGTTGGAGTACAGTGGTGTGATCACAGCTCACTGTAACCTAAAACTGCTGGGCTCAAGTGATCCTCCCACCTCAGCCTCCCAAGTAGCTAGGACTACAGGCGTGCACCACCACGCCAAGCTATTTTTTGTTTGTTTCTTCTTTGTAGAAAGGAGGTCTCACTATATTGGCCAGGCTGACCTTGAACTCTTGGCCTCAAGCTATCCTCCTGCCTCAGCCTCCCAGAGTACTGGGATTACAGGTGTGAGCCACTGCACCGGCCTGGTTCTTGAACTTCCCTGATGTAATTTTTGTGGGGTGCGAGGATGAAAGGATGTGGATGTTAGATAAATGGATAATAAGAACTTCTTACTATCTTACTCTTCTCTTTTTCATTCTGAAAAAAGACTTCAGTGAGTGACTACTTATTATACAGGGTATCTCAAAAGTTGCCATACATAAGGAAAATGGGAAATTGTAGCTAAATGTACCTTTATTTACAAAATATTCGTTACAAGATTTTACAGAATTTTTCCTTTGTATGGAGACTTTTGGGATACTCTGTATATTGAATACATTCTCTTGAATTTTTCAGTTTAAAACATAGTCTTAGAATCTCCCCTCAACATGTTAGCTATGATCTTGTTTTTAAGTCAAACCAAGCAGATATCAACTTTAATTCTGCTCAGTATAAGTGAATGTTACAGTCATACGAAACTTTTTTCTAGTGTAAAAAATCCAGTTCTGAAAGAGAGATAGGGAGGAAAATGTATCCACACTTGTGGGGTGGGGAGGGCAGCAGGGGCTGTGGGTGCACATTATTATAAGGGGTTAAGAGTGAGGATGAAGGATAGAACCGGGAAATGTGGGCTAGTTCTTGGCTCAAGAGCATTTTTTTCTTCATTTTCTTCAACCGTCTAGTCTAGCCAGAGTTTTTGTTTGTTTGAAGAAGGCTATGAGATAAATAGCTTCTCTAGATTTCCTACAGACCATTTTTTTCTTCTACATCAATGAAAATTTTCAATGGGAACATATATCCATCCTGTTTATTTCATGGAAAATGTTGAAAAAAGATTTGATAATGTGAAATTTCTCTTCTTTTTCTTCACTTTTATGAGGTATAGCTTTTGTTTGCTTTGGTGGAAGTACTTGCTTGATAAGCATTTTAAGTGAGTTTACCCAACACATTTTTGTTTTTTCTCTGGGTATTTAACTGAATACCAAAAATACTATTATGACTTTTTTTTTCCGATCAAGTCCATTCTGATACCAGAATCTAAGTTCTTCAATGTCATAAACAAGATTTTTTTTCTAAGTCAGAAACAATTTTCTTCACCAAAGTGAAAATATTTTAAGCTGTGATGATAGTAAAGCTTAACAATAGGTTGTTTGGATTGGAATAAAGATAACATTAGAAATGAAAGTTTTTATATAACTGATTATGGGCTGCTCACTTATTTTTTCTATCTGGGAGAAAAAAAAACACATGGTACATTCTCCTCTGAGAATGGAAAAATTACTGAAGATAATAAGGGAAGGAATTTAGTACCTTAGAATTGGCTACTGAAATCTTATTTAGTCTCTTCGTGGCATCTGGTGCCTTAGGTGCTTTCTTTATTTTATTACTCAGCTCTCTTTTGGTAGTTAACCCCTTGCATTATGATCACTTGTTGATGCATTTGTTTCTGCCACTAGATTATGAGGTCTCAATCTTAGGCATTTTTGTATTGTTAATGCCTAGTACAGTGCCTGGTATATAGCTATTGCTCAACAATGTGTTTCTGAACTAAAAGGTGCTTGGTAGATATCATCATTCACATGTCTCTTACTCACTTACCTTAAATAAGAAGATACTGGTTCTCTCCTTTGAGAATTTTATTTGTTCCTCATAGTATTCAAGATGATAATGCCATATAGAGAAGCAAGTTAGTTCCGTTTGGAGATAATTCAACTTAGTGACTTATGTAGGGAGAATTTCAAATAGGTTCTAAATGTTGACCTATATATTTGTGGTCTGACATGGGGAGGGAGGGTTTCTAGGGGAGACCAATTGCTGAGGACACTAAGGGTCACTTTTGGGAGGAAGCAAATTTGTGGGTTGCTAGCCTCAAACTCTCCAGCCAAGATCAAGGAGACAAGGTTGCCCTCAGTTTCTGAAAGAAACACTGCTAGGCACGCCTGTAATCCTAGCTCTCTGGGAGGCCGAGGCAGGCAGATTGTTTGAGCTCAGGAGTTCGAAACCAGCCTGAGCAAGAGCGAGACCCTGTCTCCACTAAAATTAGAAAGAAATTAATTGGACAACTAAAAATATATAGAAAAAATTAGCTGGGCATGGTGGCGTATGCCTGTAGTCCCAGCTACTCGGGAGGCTGTGGCAGGAGGATCGCTTGAGCCCAGGAGTTTGAGGTTGCTGTGAGCTAGGATGAAGCCATGGCACTCTAGCCCGGGCAACACAGTGAGACTCTGTCTCCAAAAAAAAAAAAAAAAAGAAACACTGCTAGGGGGCAAGGAACTAACTTTGTGGTTGATCAAAATAGAGCTGCCTATATTCTGTCCCTGGATACTTGTTAATTGTTGACAGGCTGGAATACTTATGGATACACTTCTGAGTATGTCTCTCAGGTATCTTTCATCCTTGTTGTGAGGGAAACAAGCTCCTTGGGAAAGGGAGAATAAGAAGAAAAATTGGTGAGGTCATCCTTTTGGGAGACCTAGATGAACAACCAAACTTGTGAAAAGAAAGTGTTTCCCTACCTCAGCAAAAGTAATATTAGCATCTTCAGGAGTGGCAGGGTCAATGTAACTGGACACAGGAAAAACAAGAACAATATCAAGGAGACCAAGTCAATCATTTCTACAATGCTGTGCCAGTCTCCACAGAATTTTAAGCAAAATCTTAAGCAAAAATAAAGTCTGCTTAGCAGACCTTTCAGGATATTTTCACCAACCTTACATTTTTCCCTGGGGAAAGAAGGTAATTCAGCTTGTTCAGTAAATATTATTTTTACCACAATAGTAAATAAATATTAAAACACTTAGAAGGTTTATAAAAATTATATCAGGCATGCAGAGCATGTGATTATCTTTTTATTCATGAGATTGCTTAGTGGATTAAGAAAAGAAGGTTGAACCCAAATTCCTTTTATGGGGGGGTGGGAATTGGTGGAAAATGTTTTAAAGTAGAAGGTATCTGACTAAAGAGCATGATGCTACTGATTCATCTAAAATATAATGATTGTTTATAGAAATTATAAAAGTCCTTGATAAGATCACATTGACAGATGAGGATAAGTACTTTTAAAGATTAGTTTTGCACTCAGCTCAACAGTTTTTTCTCACTGTTCAGAGCCTAAGTACCCAGTCTGTGATTAGATTTTGATGCCAAACAAGGAGAGCCTGTGTAATCTTGCATAAAACTCAATTATTGCTGCTAAATAGCTGCTGTCAGGTCTTAATAAAACCCTCTCACTATAGAGAGATAAGACATTTTATTCTTTCCCTTGTCCTACTGGGAGGTATAAATATATAATTAACTTCGGATGTCATTAATCACTTTCAAGTTGTTTGCTTTGGGCTTTCAAATGTAAACCGTTCCAAATCCCAATTTGATTAAAAAATCATGGGCAATTCAAGTTCACTGGGATGCTGGGGTAGGTGAGGTTATGACTTGTACAATTTACAAAATGTGCATTTTAAGGACATATTTATTGTAGTTAAAATCCTTGTCTGCCAATTCTTAACATCTGGATTGTCTGTGGGTGTGTTTCTATCAACTGCTCTTTCTCTTGACCATGGGTACAATTTCCCTTCACAGTTGTGGTAGTTTTTAATTATTTACTGGACATTGCAGGTGACTCATTTTAAAGTTTATCTTCCACTAAAGAATGTTGAGTTTTGTCCTAACCGGTGATTATATTATTGGCAGATCATCTTTATCCTATGGATGCTTGGTTTTAGGTTTTATTAGGATGGGTCTACTTCTGTTTTGCCCTTGGTCCAACCACATAAATCTTAGTCCTGGGATATGGTCTTTATTCCCAAGATTTGACCCTTCTAGGGGCTCAGTGAAAAGTATGAGGAGTTTGCCAACCTCTGGAGTATTTATCGAGTCCTTCTAATTTGTCAGGACTTGAATTCAAACCTCTGTCTCCCCAGCAGCAGGAGCTGTCTGCTCAGTCTTTTCAGCTTCCCAGCTCTTGCTTTCTCTTGGGTTTCTGAATCTCATCTTGCTCGTGCACAGCCAGGAATCATTTAAGGATTTGAACAGAGTTGTAGGCATACTTTGAGGCTACCCCTTCATGGTTCTGTCTTTTCCAGGATTTTTCTTCCTCAAATTCTAGCTGCTGTAACTGCTCCAGATACCTGTGACACCTCAGCCCAATAAGACTTCCATTTTCTGCTTGCACAGTATTCCTTTTCTGCTGCATGACTGGGGAGTACCTTAAGGGGGAAAGCTGGCTGTATAAATTGGGTTTCATGTAGTTCGCTTCCTTTTTTCTGAGGCTTATATCCTTTCCAGTTTCTGCTTTTGGTTGCCCTCTTGATGCCTTTAATATTTTGTCCGAAGTTTAAAATTGTTAAGAGCAAGATGGTTGGTCTGATGTAAGTTACTCTGCCACCATTTTTAATAATGAAAATTGGAAATATAAAGGGGTTTTTCAGAATTTCCTACATACCACTTAGGAGGTATCTAACACAGTGTTTGTGAAACAATGGAAAGTCACTATGAGTTATATAGGCTCCTGTGGATGGGTGCTTGCACTTGAGAATCTCTACTTTTTACCAAAGTGCCTATCTAAAAACAGCATTTTAAAGTGAATTGCTATAAGAATTATAAATAAATGTCACACATTATCTAAAAC